TTTTTTTTTTTTTTTTTTTTTTTTTAATTACAATGCACTTAATTCTACCCCATAGTAGAAAGTAAGGAATGGTATATCTTTGAGAAGAGCAAGCCACAGACAGTATGGTTAAACCTTATATATAGCTAAACAACATGTGTCCAATATTCCTTACAGGATAACCGTGAATTTTATTTATTTATTTGTTCCAGGGACTGGAAAATACAGCCAGGGAGTATCTGCCAGAACATAAAGCCCAAAAAGGCCTCTAAACAAGAAAATAAATTAATAGGTTTACAGCCAGCAGAGACCATTATAATGATGTAGTCTGACCTCCTGTGTGATACAGGCCAGAGAATTTCACCTAGAAGTTCCTTCATTGAGCCCAGTACGTACAAACTTGAAAATAATGATCACACATCTCCATTAATAGGTGCAAGTAGACAAAATACTTGCATTTGTTCCCCCCTATTTAACATGAGCAGTAGTCTGAGATAGAGAGTTGTTAGATAATATTCACTACTAAACCTTGTCCATTTTATGCATTCAGCCAAAAGCAAAAAATGCCACTAAACTTCTAGCATTTGGGAAAAGACTTCTGGGTTGATACTGCAGGGCAGAAGGGGAAGCTTCACTTGTATCTGGATATCATTGGTGCCAGGCTTCTCTTTCCAATTCTTGGATTTCCCAAAGTGTGGTTGGTTGTGACCAGTTGTGTAAAGCATGGCTGGGAGGATGAAGTGGCATTTCAGGTTGTCCCTGGTCTTTTGCCCGCTTTACCTCCAGTGGCTGAAGGCTGGAACGTTGCACCTTTTTCTCCATTCCTTGCCTCATGCTGTATGGGAGCATTAGGAAAAGAGGGTCACCACTATCATTTGGGTCCAGATGTGGAGCTTATGGCTGCTGCTGCTGTACAGTGTTGGCCTGGGTGATTTCTCTCTTGTCTGGTGCTGGAGTTGAGAATGATACAGTTGGCATCCTGGTTGGAGTAGCCATTGCAGCTTCCATGTTTGTCTCAGTATTAGTCTCAGTATTAGTATACTAGAAAGTGCAAGGGCTGCCTAGATGTTTTGGATCGTGGAAGGCGTTTTTCCTATATTTCCTCCTTCCTCCCCACAGCCGTGGAACTATCTTGCATTTGCAGCTGTCCCATTGTTCAGCATGCTTGTGTGCTATTCCCCTCCGTGTCTTTTGCCTATAAATTTGTGGGGGGGGGACTGTCACTGTCTGCTCTGCTTATGTACCGTGCTTAGCACTGCAACTGCAAATATTATAGACTGCTTGTTTACTAATGTGTCATTCTTGCATTTAAGTTAGCGGTTCTAATGGATGCAGAGAGGCAAAACTGACAACCCTGTTTTCACTGATTTCATACAGTCGTATGTTAGGGTAGTAATGTGCAATTTCCTACTAATTGAGACGCTGATTTACCTCATTGACAAATACATGCTCCAAATATCTATTACCCTTTGCCCTTCCCATTACCTCACCATCAGCCTTATTGCTTGCTTAAGTAAGCCTTCATTTTCAGGCCTCAACTGCAACTGTATCTTATCAGCATGGACTGGTTTAGGATACACCTCCTTTGATCAGCAGAGGTGTTAGCTTCTTTTCAAGTGGGTATCCTCTTTTTTATTCCCTACTCTGTCACTTTTGAGTTCAGAAGTGGTCCCATAAAAATTCTTCTTTTTTCAAATGACCTTGTATTTCAGCCTTTTGCCTGGCCTGCTTCCAGCCTCTCATTGAGGCAAGAGGAGGAACCTTCATGCAAAGGAAGGAGATAAAATTGAGCAGAAAGACTAACACTAATAGGCAGAGGCATAGCAAGCTCATTGAGTGCCTGGGGTTGGGGAGCATGGGGGTTTGCTGACCACTGTAGCTGGCGGGGAAAGAGGGGAGAAATGTGGGTGAGTGGAAGGGAAGGCTTACCTTCCTGGGTGGTAGCAGATGCTGCCACTGCTGCAGAAGCAGCATCAGCTCCACTCCAGCAGCAGCATCCCTATGGCTGGCCTCCCTGAGAGCCAACCCCAGTGCCCAGTTTGCTTCCACCCCCACCCCTCCTTGCTGCCCAGTACATACTTATTGGGTGCAGGGTTGTGCTTGCTCTGACAAAGGCTCCCAGGGGGGATGGGGAGCACTGTTTCTCTAGGTCCACTCACTCCCTGTGTCCCACCTAGGGATACTACTTGGTGCAGCACTGCCCCTGCCCAGCCCTTATAGCCAGGCAGGGGCAGTGCAGGACTCCCTGGGGAGGTGATTCCAGCGCCCTCTCCTAGTTGGTACCGGGGCCTGGTGCCCCATTCACTTTAACCTAGTTAGACTACCGCAGACAGGGCTACCTCTGAGAGGTCCCACTTGGAAATCCTCTGTGGAAGGGCTCAATGATGGCACAAAATGTTTACTGTAATTGTATTTTATTTGACTGGGGGGAAAAATTATACATTGGCAGCTTGCAGCTTTTATTGCCCCTAATGTGATGTGCAGGGGTTTAGCTTATGAAGCAGGCTTCCTGTTTAATCAACAAATTCAGCAGTTATCCTTAATCCCTTTAGCTGGCAGTGCTAGAAATTCCCCTGTTAACATTACATACCAAGTTCGAAACCACAGTCGTATTATGAGATGCTGGGTCCTGATGCCAAAGGGTTAATATCTCCCTTTTTATCCTGACAGTAATAGAAGTAAACTTGCTCTATTATGATTTTATTGCACATC